GCGTGGTGAGGTCAAAGGTCGAAGAATAGGGACAAAAGAGGAGAGGAAGAATGTGGCCAAACAAACAGGATGTCAGTCTTATGAATGAAAGCAGAAAGAAGCACGAATCATTGAGAAAGAGGCCGACAACAAACTTGCAGATATATGAGGGGGAATCAATGAATTCATACATGCCGATGGAGACAGACAGGGAGAGAGGGGTGAAAGTAGGCCAGCTGCTGCGACCGCAGCAGCTGCTGATGGAGCCGGTGAGTGTTTCATGTGAGAGTGGCGGCGGAGCAGAGTGGCAGCGGAGCAGAGGGGCGACGTGTCAGGGGCGTCGAGCCAGTTTCCCAGTCTTGATCGGGGATCAGCCCGCGGGCCTCACTGTTCCGCCGCGTGCCACGCCTGTCCCTCACACACCGCCGCTCTCAGATCTGTCACATTAGGGCCGTCGCTCAAACACTGACGGCGCTTTGTGACTGTTTGTCTCGTGTCACGCTGATTACTCTGCTCATTGAAACCTGAATGAAGGAAGTGGATGAAGTTGGGGTGAGGACGTCACAGCCGCGTGGTCATCGGCCATCTTCCATCATTCGTATCTAAAGACACGAGCCCCGAGCAGCGCTGTCATGTGATTGTGTGATATGTGCTTCATGTGAACCGTCACACATTAATCCTCCATGAAAACTACTCACACTTAAATCACGGGAAATAAAGTGACTGGGTGGCCATCTGCCAAAATGATAAAATATATATATATATATATATATTTATCATACCATATGCTTACATATCTACACTTTATTTTGCAGCTCAGCATCGCGTTACTTTATGTTTATGGTTTGAGTGCAGCCACTTTCTGATATGGGGTTATTTTATGGACTCTTAATGCATCAGTCACCTAATATTAATGGCCAGACACGGAGCCTCGTCGCACTGTTTCAGCATCAGGGTTGAAAATGAGGAATGACTGGTGAAATATTTGAAAAATTTTGCAGCTTAAGTACTTTGCTGAAATCATTTTTATGAGACTTTTATGACGGTCTTCTCCTGTTTTAATGATGCTGCAGTTTGTGTCTACATTAGTGTGTTGGACAGGGGATTAGAACGGCTGCCAGAATCAGAGATGAAAGAATAAGAAACAGCTCCACCAGATAAACACGAAGCCTGTTTGTAATAATATGTGGTTTTTGGGGCTTGAATTCAGATCTAATTGTGAGTTTCTTTTTTGCAACTCTGTTTGCTACAAGAATCAAATAAACAGCATTATGTTTTCAAAAAAGAGAATCTAGTTTATTTTATTTTGTGATATAAAACCATGTTTTTTATTGTTATTATTTTGAGAAGATCTCAACCTGAGTGCTGATTAATATGAGTCCACCAGAGTGGCGGGAGTTTTAAACTTTATTGTCTTGTGTATTTTTCTGCAGGAGAAGCAGCTTCATTTATTCTCTTCATCAATAAAAATATAAATAACATGTTGCAATACAGTTAAATGTGATTCTAATATCGTGGCTCATATTTCTTCTGTTTTAATTATACTCTGCAGCACTACAGTATTGTGCGTGTGTGTGTGTGTGTGTGTGTGTGTGTGCGTAGACCCACCTCCTGCATTGTGAAATGTGTACTCACGCAGTCTAAATGTAGTTATATATAATATCTAACAGGCCTGTTGGCCCTGGCTGCTCTGCTGCACTCAGCTCTCTAGCTGCTCTTGTCTCTGTATAATCCCTCCTCCTCATGAATACATTAACGCCGGAGCCTTAAACTCAGCTTAGCTGGCGGCTCAGCGTCACAGCACATCCTATTACCGACTTTAAATCATTAATGTGACATCGTTTTCACTCAATTTCCAAACACCCACGGTCGAAAACTGCATATTTCACTGAGCCGGTGCAGAGAGAGGGCCCCGCTCAAAGTCACACAGTGGAAAACACGCATGCGCACAATGAGACAAACACACATTCTGCTTGTGCACAAGTGCACAAGTTTTTCATCTGAGCTATAGTAGATTTGCAGAAGCAGAAACAGAGTAAATTAATTCATATGGAGAAAAAATGCACAAAAAAAAAAATAAAAACAGGCATTCAAATGTGAAAATGTTCCCTCTGTAATAGTTTTCACTCTTTTGTCTCAACTATTGTGATGGAAATACCCAGTGGATAATTGTGGTTTAAGCTGAGCTAACTCCTACAGTGCACCTTAGGCTGTTGCTGTGTGTGTGTGTGTGATTTAATCTGTGAGTCTAGCCACCATTTGCTTCCTCCAGCATCTCGTGTTCTGCTGACAATAAAGGAAGAAGAAAAATCTGAATCCCCTTTCTGCTCCTCAACTATTCAAACATAAACCTTTTCTCAGGTTTTTACCTCCAGGCTGCCACTGAAAAATTCACAACGCCCAGAGAACAACTAAGTCCTTCACTTACCGTAGGAGTTGTGGATCTGCCCCCATCGAGCCTCTTTATTGCATCAAAAGGGTTTTTTTGTGTGTGTGTGAAGCACTGGTAATTAGCAAATCACGTAAAATCATCTCCTCGGAGTGCATTTAACTGTTTTTATGTGCAGAGCGTCAGACCAGGGGGTGGGGGTTGATTGTGGAACATATGGACACGGATGGGGACAGCATATTAATGGGCGCACTGAGTGGGGTTTTGTGTTTTTAACCCTTAAAAGTGGAGGCATGAACATCCTCAACATCCTTAAGCGAGCATCAATTAAAGATTTGCTTTTAAACTGGCGACAGCAGCACGGGCGGCTGGCATCAGGCACTTTGACGGGGCTGAGAGGACAGTCTTCTCTTCTTTTTTTTCTTCTTCTCTTTTTTTTCTGACTCCCACATTTACACACACACACACCCACACACACACACACACACACACACACACATTTCATCACTCACCCCCCTCTCTCCTCTTCTGCCATGTCCCTTGTTGTGCTTAATTAGGTTATCAGGTTGCTAACGGGCCGTGATTCGGCTCCACGCCTCCCAGCTGGCCCTCTGATTGGAGGGGCAAGAAGGTGGACTTAACATAATTAACACGTTGTTATGGAGATGATTGAATTGTTCGGCGACACATGGGCAGTGCCACCGCCGTGATGGCTCACATCGCATCACTGAGAGGACGACAGAAGGAAATGATGAAGATTTTTCGTGCCAAAAATAAAACAGATGGAAACCATCACAATTGGATTTAAATATCTCACCTGTTCGTATCTGCTCTAAGTCAACTCACTGTAACTCATTTATTCATCTTTTTCTCTCATTAATTTCACATAAATAAGCGAGGATGCATTCACTGTCCTCAGTGATACTACTGCAAGTTTTCCTGTGTTTTTTTTTTTTAAATTTTTTTTTTATAAATAAAGATGGCAGTGTATATTTGTATGTTTATATGAACGTGTTGGAGCTGTAAAGCCATTGTGTGAATGTATGTGTGGAAGCAAAGAAGTGACCAGGACCAGCACAAGTTTTACCGAACACATTGCTGTCTTTATTAGAGCCTTGTCTGGCAGTAATACTGAAAAAAAGTGAACTTAGAACAGATGGTGGTGGCAGCCCACAGCTTTTTTTTTTCCTGTTTTTCTTTATTTCTTTGATATTTTTCTTCATTTTTTTGTGAGAGTACTGCGACTCCTGCTTTTCTGTGGCATGGATAACATCAATAAAAGAGACAGTAGGGAGAGAAAAAAGAAATATACAACTTATATTACACTGTGTTATGAACAAAATATAAATCTATAACTCTATGTTATATTTACATAATTATCTTTCTTGATTTTTCAAGTTGAGATGGTAAGATATTTTTTTTTTTACTTGTAATAATTCTTACTTTGTTTTGAGCTCCACTCATGACTTTGATTGTCTTAAATAATATCATCATCATCATCATCATTTTCATTGTCTTGATATGGGGACAGACCTTGCCAGCAGGGATGATTGACATCTTAATGCCCCCCCCCCGCCCACCCCCCACCCCCACACCCTCCTGATACCCTAAAGAATGGAATGGATCCACTTAGCCCCCTCTCTCCAGCATCGGGTTGAATCATGGTGTGATAGCAGGGGTGACTATACAGCAAAATTAAGACCCAGAGGCTCATCGTGTGGCATGTAGCGAACATCTATAGCGAGAATGATTGTGGGGAATCACTATGTGACAGCACACCTGAAGAGTAGTCATGGCTCCTGTAGCGTCGCGTGGAGCTAAAACAAAGCAAAGGGCTCCTGATGAGAAGTGACTTTAAAGATACTGTAGATACGCCTGGTCGTCTCGCACGCGCACACACACACACACACACACACACGCAAACACACGCACACAAGCACACACACGCACACACATGCACACGCACACAGTGGAACACCCTTGGTGGATCATGGTAAACACTGCTTTCCTATGATTTAAAAAAATCACTGCTATCACAAAAACAAAACGTATGTACAGGATTTTAAATCTAGAATAGTAGATTTCAAGAAACAGAAAAAGGACAGCATAGGATTTGTTTGGTTGTCATGATAATCTCTTCATTTATAATGTATGTGTGTGTGTGTGTGTGTGTGTGTGTGTGTGTGTGTGTGTGTGTGTGTGTGTGTGGATCCAAGCCAATGATGTTCCACTGTGCCTCAGTGAGGCGGCCAAACTAGTAAACGGGGACGGGACTCTTTGTTCACAGAAAACAGTTTCCAAAAGTGATAAAACTGATTTCCCCCCAAAAAAAAGCAAAAAAAAAAGCAAAAAAAAGCAAAATAAAACAGAGGAAACTTCACATTATACATTATTATAATAACCATTACAAATAAAATTATAATAACAATAAAAAAAATTATGTTCTTCTTTTTCTCTGACTGCACAGAGTCTGAGTGCTTTTTAGAAATGGGTGTGGACGTGAAAAGGTTATGTCTTCAGCTCGGAGGAGGGCTGGCGTCGAGTCTGTCAGTCCAGCTCACTGTCCTAACCCCGCCCGCCCACCCATCCGGAGGATTAATACAAAACGAACGCATCAAAAAAAGAAGGGAACAAAGAATGTGAAACAAAGAAAGGTAAAATGACAACTTTTTGTTTAGATCTAAATACCTAATACCAGCTAAATAGAATAATGTTTCATTGACTGTCATAGTTTCATATGGTCATAAAAACCCGATAAAGAGGAGAAAAATAAATTATACTGTACATAACTTACTAAACTTAGGAAACGCTGACCATCCTTATAATTATTGTTAATAATATTATTAGACTAGAGGCAGTTTGAAGAGAAATAATAAAATACAGTATTCAAATACAAACAGAAACACTGACTGGCTGACTTCACCTCGGCTCTGCCCACTGGGGACAGCAGGACGAGCTGATTGGAGGGAGCAGGAAAACACTGAGGGACAGAACAACAGTTGTGTATGTGTGTGCGAGTGAGTGTGTGAGTGTGTGTGTGTGTGTGTGTGTGTGTGTGTGTGTGTGTGTGTGTGTGTGTGCGGGGGGTACAGTAAATAACAGCAGCAGCTCGAGTTGCCTGTCTTTCTGTATCCTGGACATTTTTGCAAAGAAGACGCCCAGTAAACGAGTACACAGAACACACACCGACACACACTCACGCGTCGGATGTTTCGAGCTGAGTGAAGTTCTGTCCCGACAGAGGGGACGGAGCGAGAAGGAAACTGGTGGATTGTCTCACAACACAGTGCTTTCGTTTCTGCTCCGTGACGCCAGAGAGACTCCCCTTCTCCCCCCTGAAAATCCAGTCAAAGTGGGACGGTCCATGCTGCACTGGTCAGTCCTGGCTGGACCGTCCCATTGGATTCCAAATGGGGGGGGTGGGGAGCAGGCAGTCACAAAAATTACAGAGAAAAAAAGGGCAGGGGAAGGGGGGAGGGGACCGCTGACAGCACACTGCGAGGTCGAAGAAAAGATATCTTTTTGTTAAAAATAAACATGTCTGATGTCTTTCAGGTGCTTTACAACAAAAGGGGAAAAAAGAAATGTCTCTTTTTTCTATTATTATTCAAACTTGTAGCACAAAAACAACAAATCACATTCACAAGCCACTTATTGGCACCGTGTACCTGAGTGAGAATATTATAGAACCAAAGAACAAAAAAGCTGTTTTTTTAAAAGTGTCTCTTGATAATAAACAGGTCCGCCATCTTAAAGTGTCATCTGTTAGCCTTTGACAGGTCCACTGCTCCGTCTGTCATTTTCAAATGTCTCCTTTTCTACAAACGGGTCTAAAAGGTTGCTTTCTGCGTGTGACTTTTATTTCTCTTCACTCGTGGCATTACTCAAACTCTTGCAGTAGTACTCGAATATTCCTCAGCAAGCTTCCGAGTCGTCTCTGGTCGTCTCTTCCTCCCAGACTCCAGTTTGTGTAACAGTCAGTGTGAGTGACAGGTCCTGTGCTTCAGTTGATTGATCAGATGCTGGTATCAGGACTCCAGGGGCTTTGGCTCTGTTAAAAGAGTCCATGTTAGTCAGGAAGGGTGAGGGGTGGCGGGTTTCGTGAGAGTGGGACTCAAGGTGATTGGCAAAAGAGAAAGTTTTCTTCCTGATTGGTGGGTTTGGGATTTTCAGGGGAGGGCAGGGGAGGGGGGTAACCAGCTGTGATTGGCTTAAAAATAGGAGGCTCTCACGCCGTCCTATTGGGTGATATGATTCTCGTTATCGCTGGCATAATCAGCCTCTTCGTCCTCGTAGTCGAAGTCGTCGTACACGTCGCCGTTGCTGTCGTCCAGCCGTAGCTCCTCCTCCTTGATGCGTGGCTCGTCTCCCTTCAGGCCGGGCACGTGAGGGTTCTGGTGGTGGTTGGCGTTGGGCTCGGGGCTGCTGGACATGCTCGAATGCTCTGAGGGCATCTGGGGTGAGGGCATTCCCGCCATGGACAGGGCACCTGGGTAGACCACGCCTGCTGAGGACAAGGGCAGCTGACCCTGCTGCCTGTAACACACAGAGGGAAAAGTCTTTCAGCGCATGACAGGCAGCGTTCAGGCTGTGGTGACAGTGTCAAACTGCAGAGTGAGGGTTTTTGTCAAGTCACCCCCGTAAAGGAAATATTCACATGTAATTTGCTCGTTCACTTTCTAGCTGAGAGTAAGCAGAGAAGACTGACATCACTCTCATGACTGTACGGTTCACTTCAGTTGTATGCATTGAACATCAAGATGTAACACGGCTGGTGAGTGTTTCCGGTATATATGCTAAGCTAAGCTAACCAGATGCTGGCTGTAGCTTCATATTGATTTTCACGTCTAACTCTTGGCAAAAAGCAAACTGACATATGTCCAAAAATGTCCGACTATTGCTTCAGAATAAAGGGCTGTTTACTTGTGTTCCCTCAGAACCTTCGTTTTTCTTTGAATAATTTTGAAAAACAGCAAAGTTTAAAGGAAAGTCTGAACAAATTAACATAATGTTGTGTAGCAGAAATATCTAATTTATTTCTGCTTCCCTTCTGTTTCTTCTTCGCCATCACCACCTCTCATATTAATCTTGTGTCTCCTTGTCGGAGCCCCGGCCCCGAGGTTGGGAACCACTGTCCTTGAGCTTTAATTGGATATCATGGCTTATTACAACTACATCTCGTACACAGAGAGATTCAACAGGGAGAATAAAATTTTACTCCTTAACACATACAACAAAGAAAAAAACTATCAGAAAAAAAAGATTAAATTAAATTGCTGAATTTAACCTGAAAAAACAATATTAGAGACGTTATTTCAAACCTTGTGGTTGATGTTGATTTACTGAACATTTATGATATAATATAAAAGCTAAATTCCAAAAGATCTTTTGTTTAAAGCTGAGATATTCAGCATGAGATGTGCCTGTCCGAATAAAAAAAATCAAATGCGTTTAAATAAAAATCTATTCAGATGATAATTAGAATATCAGAATGAAAGGCTAAATTCCACTAAGTATATGACACACACGAAAAACAGTCCTCTTACCCCACACTGAAGTATTGCCTCATTTCCTGTCTGCGGGACCTCATGATGGCCTTGTACTCGCCAATGCGCAGCTTTTTGCCGTCCACCAGGCAGGTGCGTTTTGGCCGCGGCTTGTATTTGTAGTCTGGGTATTTTTCCAGGTGCTGCTTGCTGAGGCGAGCCTGCTCCTCGTAGTAGGGCTGCTTCTCCAGGTTGGTCATGGCTTTCCAGCGTGAGCCTGGACACAGGAGGGGACACGCCGTTAATGAAAATAATGATCGGTTTCGGTCATGGACTGTGTCTCTTTGGAAAAGTGCTCCACCGAGGAGAAAGAGATGAAACTGTGTAAGTGCAATGAAAGTCAACAGCCATGCAGCAAATATAGAAACAAACCATTAAAGAGGGTTCTGATCATTTTATAGGAAGAGATTTTTTTTAAATTGAGCATGAACGTCAGCGTGGACATCAGTTACATCGTGTGTGAGGAACAAATGTCTGTGTGGGGTGTGTGACCCTATATCACATGTGCACACCGTCTCTCATTTGACCGTATTTACACGCACACACCCACAGAAACACACACCCACAGAAACACACACACATACAGATAATGGTGGAAGTTTCACCCACAGAGAGAACGCACAACAGGGAGAACGAGGTGAGTGAGGAGAGCAGGGAGGACGACAGGCACTCATCTACACTAATGAGGACTTCATTTAACCTGCTGTCGTCTCTCTGAGCTCAGTTTCTGCTCACAGGTTTGTAATATCAGTCCACTGCATATGTGTGTGTGTGTGTGTGTGTGTGTGTGTGTGTGTGTGTGTGTGTGTGGGTGTAATCTTGAGCATGTCTTCCCCTGTGTGTTTCATATCTGGTCTGAATTTGCACTTGACTACTGTATGTTTAATGGGTAAAAGCTGTCAGCACTTGGCTGTTCTCTCTCTCTGTCTTTCTGTTCTGCTCTGCGATCTGTTAGCAATCGAGAGAGAGAGAGGGAGAGAGAGAGAGAAGGAGAGCGAGAGAGAGAGAGAGAGAGAGAGGAGGCTTATTAAAACCAGATTTCCCTGTGTTATAAAACGCTTAGGAGCTCTTTAAAATGTCAGGGCCGATCCCAGCGGTCCGGGGGAAATGTCAGGCGGCCTCGCGCTGCTTGTTTAATGCATAATGAATTATATCATCATTTGTCGGAGCTCTGCTCTCCTCAGCCGTTCATTAACAGCCGCTTACACGATGCCACCGCTTGTAAGGAAATCACTGCGAGTGTGTGTTTGTGTGTGTTTGACAAAAGTGGGAAATATAACCCACAGTACATGCATCTTCCTCTTGCTTGGGTTGTACATATGGAGTGGTGGGTGAGGTGACAAGGGAGGGACAAAAGCTCCTGTCGCTCAGATCAGACTGTGTGTGTGTGTGTGTGTGTGTGTGTGTGTGTTGGGGGTGTGTGTTTTACCGAGGATCTTGCTGATGTTGGAGTTGTGCATGTCGGGGAAGGCCTGGAGAATCTTTCTCCTCTCGTCCTTGGCCCAGACCATGAAGGCGTTCATTGGCCGCTTGATGTGCGGCTCGGTGCTGCCGCGACCCCGGGACTCCCGAAATATTCTGGAGTCTGACACGCTCGGGGAGCCTGAGGGGGAGACAGCGGAGGGGTGAGGAGGAGGGGAAGGTAGGACGAAGGGTGTTAGGAGAGGCAGGCAAAAGTCGAACAAACTAAAAACGAATATAGACATTAATGAGGTTTATAGGAAATTTGAAAAGTGAAAAGTGGAAAGTGAAAACCAATCCTGTTCAAATTTGAAGATTTTTTTAATGAACTGAAAGATTAAATATTTATTAATGGGAGGAGAAAATTCTTTGGCTCTTCAAGTTTATAAACCAGAACCTATTCAATTATATGAAAAATGTCATAAAGCTGAAAATGTGCATGTCTTTTATAGAAACATGGTTTTCACATGACACCAACATGCAGTAAATTATCATATATCCTCATAATATTTATACTGTACATGTGTGCACTGATGCAGGAGTGCGGATAGGTGTCGAAATTACACTCCTAAATGTAACAAGAATCACATTTTCCAATGCAACATAACCAGTTCAAAAAAAAAAAAAAAAAAAAAAAAAAAAAAAAAATCACACTTTTTGTCACCTAAATGACTCCAGGCATGAGTGTGTGTCTGTGTGTGTGTGTGTGTGTGTCCCTACCGTCAGAGTCTCCACTCATGGTGAAGTCCAGCATGGCGTGGCTGAACTTGTCCTCCGCCTGCTGCTTCAGCTGTTGACTCAGACTCTCCAAGGCAGCCTTGTCCTAAACAACACAAACAGTTCACAGTCGCAGTCGGTCAGTGAGTGAGTCAGTGACTGTGAATACATGAATGAATGAAAACCACAGACCTGTAGTGATGTAGTGAACTCATTTCCTCTTAAAGCCAAATATAATCAGTCTCGTGGCTTATTTTAAACAGATTTACTGACTCTGATATTCTTTATTTCAGAGTCCAAAACCAAACAAGTCTAACCAGTTTATCCAAAAGAAAATCTGTTTTGAAGATGTTCAAGCTCTTTAACACACGTAACCAATAAAAGAAGGAATCTCAGTCTTATTCCACTCTGATGTGCAAGGAGATCAGTTCATATTGTTTTTATTAATGGAGCCAAACACGGAGAAAACCGACAAATAACAGCAGCAATTTCAGCAGATAGACAGTTTGTGTTTTGGTTCCTTTCGATGTCAATCTGCGGAAACGTTAATGTCAACATCAAATTGTTAGAGTGCTGTACGCCTGCATGCTTCGACACACATCTGTGTGTATGTTTGCATGTGCAAGAATGTTGATTACATTTAGTCCTATTTGGATGTTTACTGCTTTGTGTGTATACTGTATATTATATGTGTGAGTGCATGTGTGTGTGTGTGTGTGTGTGTGTGTGTGTGTAGCGACTCCTGGCAGCCACCTGCGAGAGTGAAGTGCCGCGGCTTGCCTCTCTCTTGCAGAGGCCCCCGAGGGTCGACGCATTAGAGAGAGAGAGAGAACGAGAGAGTGCAGGGCGGACGAGAGCGAGGCCACGCCGCACGGCCCCCTGGGTATTTATTACAACCAATAAAAGGCTGATTTACTGAGCATTTACATGCTTAATGCAAGCAGCCGGCACACTCTGCGCTGGAACCTGGCTGTCGACGAACACACACGCTCGCCCTAACACACACACACACACACTGCAGTGCACCAGCGCCAGCATTTTACAGTTTAATTATACGATTAGGAGCGGTACCCAAAACACCGTCGTCTTCTAAAACAACCTTCCAAAAAGTGTCCCTCTCCATTTACATGTGACCCTGGCGAGCTGGCTGACTGGATGGAGGGAGGGCAAAATGATAATGAAATGCATTTTCTCTGTTTTTAGTCCAACAGAGTTTAATTGTTAGAGATAATTTTTCCCCCCAGATTGGAATAAATATGGCTAAAGAGACAGGGAGGGGAGAGGGGGAATAAAAGCCAGAGACACGCTGCGGCAAATGTTCATTTGTTTTGTTTTTTGCAAACCATTTAAAAAGTAGTTTATTATGAATGTATTATGTTTTAATAAATGAAAAATAATCTGCCATTGGGTTGGAATGATTTAGTCATTTTGTATGTAAATCAGAAATATTTCAGGAATTTTCCTCATTTTACACAAATGATCAGCCTCACTCAAACCTTGAGACAGGAAAAAAAAATGTGTCTCACAGTTTTAGATTTTAAGATCAAATGTGTGTGTGTGTGTGTGTGTGTGTGTGTGTGTGTGTGTGTGTGTGTGTGTGTGTGTGTGAGAGGCAGAGACAGAGACGAACAGGGAGACAGAGTGGATGACAGCCTAGTCTGACATTAAGCCCCAGTACAGTACATGAGAAAAGTGGATTGAATGGCTGACACTGGAGCCAAGACACAAAGTAGCGACAAAACTAATCCTCTGAGTGTGTCAGAGATGACACTGTCGTATCTGAACGCAGAGAGCTCGCCGGCTTCACACTCGCGCAGCACAAAGCCAAAGGGCCGAGGGAAGAGGAGTCAGCGAGAACGCGTGGTTACGGAGGCTGAGAAGAGTCACAGTTACTCCATCAAAAGCAACTTCATTTTAAAAAAGTCTCAATTTTGACAGCTTGTAATGTGTTTAACGCAACTTTAAAAAATACAAAACATCTATTTATATTCTTTTTTACATGAGAAATTACACTTCCTAAAAAAAATGTAATGCTTCATTGTATAAATGATTTGAAACTATTGAGGACTAATGACAGGAAAACCTCTCAGAAATGATAACATACACCAGTTTAATAAGAAATGAGCAAAATAGTATCATAAAATTATGTCTAGTATTTTATGATCCCCCACAGTGCCTCAACACCTGCATCTGATGAAATGAATGTGTGGAACAAAGTGAAAAATATGCTCCTGAAACATAGTTAAATTCTGTGATGTTCCTTCTCTTCCCGGCAGAATTGATCAAACTCCCTTAACTTCCTCTGCAGTCAATCTAATTGGCTGTTAGACTGAAGCCTTTATACTGTATCTACAGTATATTACTGTTTGTACTCTGTGTGAATGGGAACAATAAACCTGGGTTGAAAG